GCCACAGGGCAATCAGGAAGGTAAAGGAATTCATGCCTTACTTCATGCATTCCAAGACTGCATTTTCTGTATATGAGGGAAGGCAGCAAGTCTGATCTTCTGTTCCCCTGGGCCTGGCTGATGAAGGCTGCATTAATCATCCTCTGGTTTTTGGCTGCCTCTGGGTTGAAAGGGGTGTACAGGTGGAAGGCCTCACATAGTCACTTGTAAAACTGACTGGGGCGCTCATCTGGTCCTTGGTGGACTTCTGTTATCTTACTCATATTGATGTCCTTTTTCCCTACTTCCTTCATGCCTCCTCATTATGCCTCCTGATACTGCTCAACCTGCTTAGGCTTGAGTGTCATTAGGTCCCAGTGGGGGTCCTCCTTGGGGAACTGACCATAGGTTTAGGCATTTAAAGTGTCCACAGGGGCATGGTCTTCCAGCCACCTTAGAGCTGCCAAGGTTATACAGCATTGCTCCTCAGTATTAAATAGAGTCAGAAGAAGCTGTCAGAGTCTGTCCAGGTGGGCTGATGAGTTTGGATGATGGACTGCATTAGATCAATCAGGACCTGAGGCTTTTCCATGAAGGGGAGGGAGGTACGGTGCTTCCAATTAAGGAGGTCTGTGGTGGTAAAGAGCTAATAGATTAATGTTCGCCTTCGGATTGGACTATGAGCACATGATAAAGCGAGAGCACACAAGGGAGGGGTGAGGATAGGTAAGACACCTAAAAAACTGGCTAGCATTTGTTGCCCTTAATGCAGAGAAACTAAAGCAGATACCTTAAAAGCAACTGAAGCCAATAGGAAAAGGGGACCAGGTACTAGAGAAAAGGTTAGATCAAAAAGAATTAACCTAGAAGGTAACACACACACACAGGAAATCAATGTGAGTCAATGCCCTGTATAGCTATCCTTATCTCAACCAGCAAAAACCCTTGTTCCTTCCTATTATTGCTTATACTCTCTCTACAACAAGATTAGAAATAAGGGCAAAATAGTTTCTGCTGGGTATTGAGGGGGGGAGAGGGAGGGGGAGGAGTGGGTGGTAAGGGAGGGGGCGGGGGCAGGGGGGAGAAATGAACCAAGCCTTGTATGCACATATGAATAATAAAAGAAAAATGAAAAAAAAAATGTTCGCCTTCATGTTGTATCTGACCATGCTGGTCATAATACATTTGACCCCGGACCTCTTTCAGGGGCATCTGCAGGATGGCGGGTTCTTGGGGAGAGGTTAGGTGCACAGTGGGACTGTTCAAGTGTTCCTGGTTAAACTTAGGGGCCAGTCTAACAGGGAACTGTGGAGTGAGGACTAGTGGGCTTGGAGTGAGCATGAGGTTCTTGGGGCCTGAGGACAGTGGGGTTTGCAGTCTCAAGGACTCCTGGGCTCAGCCTTGTAGGCGTATTTGCTGCTGGGCCTTCCCAGTCAGATGCTGCTTCCCCTTCTGAGAATGGAGGTGAAGAGGAAGATGGCGGTGGCAAAGGTGGGTACAGTGGCACATAACGGGGCAGGGTCCTTTCAGGGTCCCCTGCTAATATGGATTTCTCTGACTTTTTACATTTTTCTCTGCATTTGGAAGCTGCTGCCACCCTGGCTACCATAACCCTATATGCTTCCTCTAGGTGGGGCTTTAGCCATGTGGGCCAACTGAGGACTGCATCCTGCCAGCAACCAACATAAAGAAATTGATCTGGGTGTCCGGGTTTCCCTACAACCACTTCAAAAACTCTATTGACTATCACCTCTGAGGGCCATTCTACATCAAAAGCAGGCCAGTCTATTTCACAGAAGGTCCTAAGCTTGCCAGGAGTCAGCTTGCCCCTGTAATCTCTCTTACATCCCCACTTAAAGTTCTTAAGCATGCACTCTAGGGGGTTGTTCTTACTCTGACCTCCTCCCATTCCTCCTGTTTGCCAGACGTCAAGACAGAGACAGAGATGGAAGGGATGAGGGCTGTGGAGAGAAGCTAAGGGGCCCTCCTCTCTGGCACACAGGGGAAAACCAATAACATCAATCACTTCCTCTGTCTCTGGCCACTGTCCTTGTGGGGATTTAGGTGTCTTTTTGCCATAGTGAGTCCGAATAAGCCCCAGACCAGAGGCCCTTTTAGGACTCACCATAGACCATATGAGTTCGCCATGGACCTGCAGATTGGGACGCTGCACTCGCTTTGTAACCAGGCTACGTCTCAGGATTATGCTTTTGCACACTCTCAAACAGCACAGTACTGCTGCCCCACTGTCTGAACCTGAAAGACAGTTTCACCCCTAGAAAGGGGGGTTACTTGGGTGTCTTTGGGAGTTGATCAGATACCCCTTCTGCCTCCTGCAGCAAGCCTATATTTGAACCCAGGTTCTTACCAATCTGATGAGCAGGACTCCCAAGTTGGTTCCTGAGCCTTTCCAGGTTCCTTTGTACAACTGGAACTTGCCTCCTCAGCTCACTGGGAGAGAGGCTCCCTCTCCTTGGATTAACACGGTCCAGTGGCACCTGGCAGGGGTGACTCTCCCGTTGGGCCAAGAATGCTGACCCAGTGATGAGAGGGTGAAAACACCACCCTCCAAATCCCAGGCAGGCCCCCAGAAATGTTGCAGATGCTCAGACAGAGACAAAGAGGGCACCAAAGCTTAAGCAGGCCTGTAGCTATTCAGTGGACTTGAGTCCAAAGGCTGAGCCCTGAGAACAAAGGGGGAGTTCCTTATATACTATTTACAGCAGGTTACAGAAATGGGGGGTCAGCTTGCCCCATACATAATCACATGTTATTTCATTGGCTGCTCTAACCTCTGGGGCAAGGTGACCCTTCTCTGGCCTCCAGGTAACATTCCCCAACTGTGGTTTTTCTTTGTTTCACTGTAGCACTTTCTCCCTTTCTCCTCCCTGCCTTCCTGCCACAACTCCACCAGCCCTTTCTGTGTTAGGTATTTTCAAGATAAGTTCTCACAAACTATTTGCCCAGGCTGGCTTCAAACCACGAATGAGCCTCCTAATCTCTGCCTCCTGAGGAGCTAGGATTACAGGCATGAGACACTGGCACCTGGCATGCAGTCTCTTCTTTTGTAGAGTGTCTTACAGCTACAGGTTTGCCACGAGGGCTGAATGGTTGGCCTAGGGCAACTGCAAACCTTGTTGCAGCCGCTATACTTATTTGTGGTAATACTTTCATTAATTTGCTTTTTGCTACTAATGTAACATTTATAAAAAGCTGTTTTTAAAATTATAAAACTAATACTATAGATGAATGGCTAATAAGCCCATGAAAAAATGCCCAACATCGTTAGTCATTAGAGAAGTACAATCAAAACCACAATAAGATAACACATCACACCCCTAAGATGGCTAAAGCTAGAGACAAAAAAGAGATAACAAATTTAGTGAGAATGTGGAGAAATCGAACCCTCATACATTACTGGTGGAAATGTAAAATGCTGTAACTAAGCCACAGAATTATGATATAACCTAGTAATTCCCCTCCTAGGTCTATACCCAACAAGTGAAAGCACATGTTCACACAAGGTTCATAGCATAATTGCTCATAATAGAAGGTGAAAGCAACTCAAATGTTTATCAACTGATGAATGGATAGATGAAGCATATTTATACACGGAATGTTTTCAGCAGCTGCCACTTTGTTTCTTCTTTGTCTTCTAATGGCTTGGGTTTTTCTCTCTCCGATTTGCTGACAGAAAATGAAGAGGGGAGTTTGGCTCCTCTTGAGAAAGCATAGATCAGGGAAAGTGAGGCATGGGAAACAGCAGCCAGAAATTTACAGGTAAGCATTGTACTAGCGAATAGCTTGATTAAAAGCACACAGATACTGCTTTCTTTGCTTTAAACTTCACGAGCTGAAACAGTAAAAAGAAAGAAAAAACAGCAGTTCTCTCCTTCTCACCTTGCCCACTTGCCCAAACAATTAATGCGCTCTAAGAACTAAGCAAGGAAATCTTAAAGAAAGATACTTATCCTGGGAAAGACTATCTGGGAAAATGACTCCTCTGGGCATAAGAAATATTTACAAAGATGCACACTTGTCTTAAAGGGAGCATCCTTTCAAGTCTCTGGGATAAATTGATAAAACGGTATAACAGCAAAACTGATAAAAAGTATACAGGGTGTCAGAACAAAGGGGGAACACTTATCCTAATGTAATTTTGAGCCAAACCCCCAATATTTTTCACCATAAATACCCTTGATGTTAGCACACTCATTGAACCTGTTATCAAATGTGCCTGAACCCATGTCTGGGTTGTGTACTATATTTCTATCTTTCCTTTGCTTTGCTTTACTAATAAACTTTTTTGGTCTTTACCTTGATATGTCCTAAAATTCTGTTTTTATGACATCATGAACTAAGTACCCAAGAGTTAGGTCTCCGTTTTGAAGACCTCCTCCCTGGAGCCTCGCAGATTCTGGTGACACTCTGGTCTTTTTTCCTCATTCCAAAAGCTTGTAACTCATCTGAATCTGTCCCTGGGGATCTCTTGTATTTGGGAGCTTAATCACAATGATCAATGCCGTTATTTACGTAAAATTGTATTACTTTAAAGTAATATTACTTTAAATACTTTAAAGTAGTATTACTTTTAAGAAGGCTTATGATGTGTTATGATGTGTTTTCAACCTTTCTGTGTTAGTAAAGTAGGTATCAGTACCCTTATTTATAGGTAGAAAAGACTAGATGAAAGAGACTAAATGACTTGTTTGGTGGCTGTTTCTTTACCTGTAAGAGAAGGTGGATGAACTACATATTTCTTTTACAACAATAAAACATTATCCTGGACCTGTTCAGAGTTAGAAAGGAATTTGGAGGCAAATTCAGTTTCATAACTCATATGTATCTCTACTACATCATTTTGGGAACAAAGCCGGATTACCCAAACTGGAGCGATTGATCCCTAAATCACCACTCCGCCTCACTCTTAGCAAGTTCAAGGCAGTAACGAGTACCTTGTGGCGGCGGAACGAAGTTTGCGGGCGGGAGGGACGTGTTTTTGAAACGGACCTGAGAAAGGAAGTGTGCTACGCCATCGAGGGTCCCCATGCCCGGCTGCCGCGGAGACGGTGCGGGGGTCATACGTGGTTGGGCTACTCCACGCCGTTTCTGCAGCCGCAGCGAACCCGACCTACTTGTTCTGGCAGTAGACTCGACGAGCTGACCTTGGCCGCTCTTATTTGCAGCTTGCAGACCAGGGGCCAAGCCGATGACCTCTTGGGCTTCCGTCAGCCTGAGCAAGGCAGCTGCCCGATGCTTTTGGGAGCGAGGCCCCGGGGTCCGCGCGGCTCCTGCGTGGGTCTCCCAGCCCAAGCCCCTGGGCTGCGGCCCTGCTCCAGGCAGAACGCTGCATGTCACCGCGGCGGCTCCCGCCGGGCACAATAAGTGGTCTAAAGTCCGGCACGTCAAGGGTCCCAAGGACACCGAAAGGAGTCGCATCTTCTCTAAACTCTGTCTCAGTATTCGCCTGGCGGTCAAAGGTGAGAACCTGACAGTCACCCGCTGTTCACCTCTGATGTCCTTTCCCTGCCTAAGGCCTACTTCATAGAGCCTCAGAAGATCTACCTACACTGGGTATTCCCATTCACCCTTCTAGACATGTTTTCTTTGCCTCAGGGTTTCCTGAGACACATTTCTTTGGAAGGTTGGTTTGGAACCGTATCTTTTCTCAGGTGTGTAGCTGTCCTAAAAAGCTTTTTGTTTTTAGTGTCGGACATAGGAAGAAGAGAACAAGTCCTGTAAAAAGCATGGACTTTGGAGTTAGGAACATTTGATTCTGTCATTGGCTAATTTATGACCTTGAACTGGCTTAACTGCTGAATTTCAGTTTCCTTTAATGTGAAACAGGGGTAATGCTTACCTTGAGATAGTTTACGGTATATAAAAGGCCCTCAATGTTAATTTGCCCTTAAAATTCATGCCTGATATTTTTCTCTTTGCTTCTTTCTAAATTTTTTTTTTTGGTGGGGGGAGAGGAGAAGCAGAACTGGGGTTTGAACTCAGGGTCTCACAGGCGCTCTACCATTTGAGCCACTCTGTCAGCCCCTTTTTTTTGTGTTGGGTGTTTTCGAGATAGGGTCTCCCAAACTACTTGCTTCCGACCACGATCCTTCTGATCTCTGCCTCCTGAGTAGCTAGCATTACAGGCCTGGGCCATCTGGCTCTGGCTATCAAATTCTTGATACTAAGTAAGTTTTTTTTATACTAAGTTTGACCAACACAGCTGTTTATATTGTGCTAGGCACTAGTAATACGAAGATTATGAAATACACCCCCACCCTCAGAGACAGAAAACATGATTCCAATGTCATGTGAGCATTTCAGTAATTATGCTTAAAGTAATAGAGCAAGAGGTATTAATAAGTCCAGGAAATTGTTACCATCTATGTCTCTTAATCTCTTCATCTGAGAAAAAGTGGAGTTTGCTGAAATTTAGCTGAATGATAACCATCCCTAAAGACAGTGAATGGGGACCTTTTCCAGCGAAGTATATAGTTCAGTGATAGAGCACAGTACTTAGCATGGGGTGAGACCTTGAGTTTGGTCCATGGCATTCTTGTGTCTAAAGAAACTTCTTTTTCAAAATACTTCTCCATATCCCATTCAAAATACTAGATACAGTATTCTAATTAATTTGTCACTGTTTTGGATGGGGTGAGGATACTGAAAATCCCTTCTTTCTCCCACACTATAATAAGTTTCTTGTTCACTCTTTTCTATCTCAGAAGGAGGCCCCAATCCTGAGCTCAACAGCAGTCTGGCCAACATATTAGAAGTGTGTCGCAGCAAGCACATGCCTAAGTCAACGATTGAGGCAGCGCTGAAAATGGAGGTGCGTTCTCAGTTTGACATTCTTGTTACTGATCACAGTTCCCACAGGGTCCATGTTTGGAAGGCCACCACACACTCCTCAAACTATCAGAGAGACAGGTAGAAATGTAGTTGACACCTTCAATCCAGTGGTGTTGGGTTCTCTGACCTTGGCCTTCGGTTAGAGTAGCATGATTGGGAATGGGATAGGTAGGATAGTATGCAGAACCATGCAGCCTAGGGCTGTTCTGCAAAGCTGTGAGGAGGTGGGGTAGAAAGAACAGGCATGGGAAAGCCCTGATGTTAGATTAAAGAAGGGTTTATTTTATTTTTCTTTCTTTCTTCTTCATTTTTTTTTTTTTTTTGGTGGTACTGGTGTTTGAACTCAGGTCCTCAAGCTTGCCAGGCAGATGCTCTACCACTTAAGCTATGCCTCTACCCCAAAGAAGGGTTAATTTTTCTTTTCAGATGTTTATGTCTAAAGTAGAAGAGCCAGTAGAATGCTGAAAATTTCTTTTTTGAGGTACTGTTGTTTGAACTCAATACTTTGTGCTTTCAAGGCAGGTGCTTTACCACTTGAGCCATGCCTCCAGCCCATAAGAGCCATAGAAGGGGAGGGGTGGAAGGTGATAGTGATAATGGGAAGGGCAGGGATGTTGAGCTGCAGTGAGGTAATACCTTTTCCTCTGGGATAAGTAAAAGGCACCTGAGAGTTAATAGTTAATAGTCAATAGTCTTTTTATTTTATTTTTTGGTGGTACTGGAGGGTTGAACTCAGGGCTTCACACTTACTAGGCAGGTGCTCTACCCCTTGAATCACTCTACCAGCCCTTTTTATGTTGTTTGTTTTTGAGATAAGGTCTTGCTTTATCCCCAGGTCAGCTTGGACCATGATCCTCCTATTAGTGCTTTCTTGCATAGCTGGGGATGACAGGTGCATGCCACCATGCTCAGCCAATGGTTGACATGGGCTCTCGTGAACTTTTTGTCTGAGCTAGCCTCATACTGAGATCCTTCCAATCTCTATCTTTCAAGTAGCTAGGCTTGAGCCAGTGCACCCTGATATGGCCAAATTGTTTGATAAGAAGACTGTATGCAAGAGCTCAGTGAATCTTTAAAATGTCCATAAGTGGAAACTAAGGTACAGAATGCTTAGGTGACTTTATTCAGGTCACATAGAAAATGACAGACTTGAAATCTGAATGCCAGACTCTAGAGCCTGAGCTCTAACCATTATACATGATGTCTCCTTGAAGGCCATGGTAGAGACAGGTTGGTTTGTTTGTTTTTCCCCTCCAGGGACCCAGGGGCTCTACATTTCCTGTGTGGAAGAGGACAGGAGAAGTTATCTGTTGAGAGGCTCTAGGAAGGTATAGGGCAGGGTACATGGAGAGAGCCATAGAAATGAGGTGCATAGACAAGGGATGGGCAGAGGTGGGGAGTTCAGATGAAATTGGTCACTAGAGTCTTAGACTCTATGAATTTTGAGACCACGCTGTTTTTATGGCTTTTTTGACAACGTCCAGGGATGTGACTTTTCTGCAGTGGCACTCAGCAGCCCACGGGTAGGAACATTGCAACTTCACAAGTGGTTTTCACATAGAATGGAGGATGATCATTTTGGAGGTAACTGGGGGACAAACATGGAACTTGAATGGGTAGGGGAGGAAACAGCTGATTGTCAGAGACCAGGCAAACTTCCTTCCAAGAATGGGTAGTACTTACAGTTACCTCAAAAGTTGATCTCAAGAGGGTGTGGCTCAAGTGGTAGAGTGCTTGCCTGGCAAGTGCAAGGCCCTGTGTTCAAACCTCAATGCTGCCAAAAAAAAGGAAAGAAAGAGAAGAAAATCCTGCTGGGCATAGTGGCTCACACCTGTAATCCTAGCTAATTGTAAGATGAAGATTGGGAGAATCATGGTTTAAGGCCAGCCCAGGCAAAAAGTTAGTGAGACCCCCCCATCTCAACCAATAAAAAACTGAGCATAGTGGTTGGCACCTGTCATCCCAGCTATGTGGAAAATGTAAATAGGAGGATTGTGGTCCAGGCCAGCCCTGGCAAAAACTCAAGACCCTATTCAAAAATTACCTAAAGCAAAGGGATTTGGGTATGGCTCAAGTGGTTGAGCACTTGTCTAGCAGGCAGGCCCTGAGTTCAAACTCCAGTACTGCCAAAAAAAAAAAAGAACGAAAAGAAGATGATCCTACTGACCTTCTCTAAGAGGATGTGGACACAAATAAACACTTGAGAGTCCAGGCTTGTCTTGAAAGCCCATCCCACGCAGGCAGCTTTTTGTTGCCAGTGGTTCAGCTGGCATTTAGGAGGGCATTGGGAAGCAGAAAAATGTGTTCATGTTTTTATTGCAGAAAACTAAGGGTGTTTATTTGCTGTATGAGGGTCGAGGCCCTGGCGGCTCTTCTCTGCTTATTGAGGCGTTATCAAACAGTGGCTCCAAGTGCCAATCGGACATTAGACATATCCTGAACAAGAATGGGTAGGTGTGTGTCTGGGTTCCAGTTTTATGCAAGGCAAGTACTGTTATTTGTGATAGTGTTTCAAGTTTTAAGCATACTTCTTCCTTAGCAGAATAATATGATAATTGATTTCCCCTTAATGTGTTCTGTGCTAGATAGGATCCTAAAGATGTATCCATCAAACATAAATGGGATCTTTGTCCCATTAGCCCATCTGTAGCTGTAGAATGCCCAGGTCTTAAAATGTGCCACCAGGACTGGAGCCTTAACAGCACAGGAAATAGTAAGCAAAGACTTTGTATCCTCCAGACTCTGGGAAGGGCAGAAAGTAGAGGGTGCAGATATTCTTGGACTGTTTCCTTAACTAGCATCAGCTGCGTCTTTCTCCTTCAAGAATAGCGCTGCTCCATGTGTGTTCTCCATAAGTTGAGTGGGGAAGAGATAGTATTGGAGTCCTGTGCTTTGTGGAGACTAAGAGCATTCACATACCCTGGCCTGTTTCTTTTCCTGTCAGGGGAATGATGGCTGAAGGAGCACGTCATTCCTTTGACAAAAAAGGAGTGGTTGTGGTTGGAGTGGAGGACAAAGAGAAGAAAGTTGTGAACCTAGAACGTGCTCTAGAGCTGGCAATTGAAGCAGGAGCTGAAGATGTCAAGGAAGCTGAAGATGAAGATGAAAAGAACCTTTTCCAAGTGAGTATGAAGCCTTTGTGTTTGGTAGGCTTCCAAGAGGTCTCTAATAGATGCTTTAAGGCATGCTTCTCTCTCTCTCTCTCTCTCTGTTTCTCTCTCTTTTGGGAGATAGGGTTTGAACTCAAGGCTTTGTACTTACAAAGCAGGTGCTCTACTGCTTGAGCTACACCTCCAGTCCATTTTGCTCTAGTTATTTTGGAGATGGGTCTTGTGAACTAATTCCCCAGACTGGCCTGAACCACAATCCTGATCTCATCCTCCTGAGTAGCTAGGATTATGAGCCTGACCCACTGGCTCCCAGCAAGGCATGCTTTTCTTGGCTTCTTCCTTCCTGTGCCTTAGTTCACATATTGCACAAATAGTTATTAAGTGAATACTAGATAGGGCCAACTCTACTGAAGATGTTAAGAAGAATTTGGAACATTGAAAACTGTGAGCTTAAACCCAGTGATACATTGCAGTATAAGAGTTCTAGTCAGGGCTTTGCAAAGTTCTGTCTGGCTTTGTTATATTACCTTCTGGTTCCTTACCTCTTGACTTTCCTTTATCCTCAGTTTATTTGTGATGCCTCTTCACTGCATCAAGTGAGGAAGAAGCTGGACTCCCTGGGTTTGTGTTCTGTGTCTTGTACGCTGGAGTTCATCCCCCACTCAAAGGTGCAGCTGGCCGACCCTGACCTTGAGCAGGCTGCTCGCCTCATCCAGGCTCTCAGCAACCATGAGGATGTAATTCAGGTCTATGACAACATTGAGTAAACAGGCTTATGTGTCTCTGGGCTCCTTCCTAGGCATGTGGCAGCCCATCCTGGAGCATGGACTTCTGTGGTAATCTCTGAGAGTGAAGTAGGTGGGAAGTCAAGTAGTAGGAGGCCTATAGCTATGACCTGTGGCCCTGAGGCCAGGGAACCCCCATACTTCTGTGGGGCTACTTAGTCAACTCTGCTGGAGTCTTGCAGCTCTCCAGGATACAGGGTGGGACCAGCTACTGGGTCTGACTCTGATCTTAGGTAGTTTGCCCTTGTAGGGATTTTAAGTGCATTGGGGTCCTATGTACTGGAAGGTGGTCTTCAGTAATAACAAAGATTGAGCTTGGTTGCCGCATTGCTGTTGTATGGCTCTTGAGTTGTTCTAAGTTTGGGTCTAGCTGTTAGGACCTCTAGACTAACTTTCAGTTCCTCAGGCTTAGTTCTCTACTTCAGTTCCAGGACTTTTGTTTATCTTTTTGATTGGCTATAGAAATGTGGCCATATCTAGGTACTCTTGGTCTAATGCTGGTTTAATGACCTAACTCTGTCATTTATTCATGCAGCTAATATTTCTCAAATACCTACTATATACCAGGAACTTAATTATTTAGAGCCTAGGCTGTTCAACTGGTTCCTTGTGTTAGATCCTGCTGCAAGGCATAGGATCTCAGAGGGAAGACATATTGCTGCTTTCTATGGAGCTGCCCCAGGGTAGTGTGGGCTGCTGTACTGTACCTTTATTCTCTTTGTATGGACTCTCTGCCCTTCTTCCACCAGAGAACTTCAGGCTATAACTTAGTAGGAAATCAGGTGCCAGTGAAAAGGGGACTCCTGAGGCCCAGCTTTGCATGGGCCCCTGTGTGTCCTGAGATTGACTGGACCTGTCAGCAGATTGGGCTGCTCTCCGGAAAGACTACACACCAAGCTAGGTTTGAAAGCTGGAGGTTCTCAGAAGGCTCAGCCATAGCCCCTTTTTGTCACTGATGCCAAATTATGAGGTACTAGGAGCTAGAGCAGAAATGGGGACAGATGGAAGAGTGGAGGACTGAGTTAAAAGCTTAGCATTTGATACTTTTTTGTTCTTAAGAGAGTCCAGGAGCCTGAGCCCATCAAGCATGTTGGGCCTACAGTATCTTTTGGATTCCTGTTAACTGCCTATTTGTGAGCTGGTTAAGTCAGCTTAGTAATTTTCCTAAAAGAGCCTTAGATAAATGAGGATGGAAAAGAACTAGAATGAAATTGACTATGAATGATAACTTCAGCATCCAGGAAAAACAGATGGCTAATTCTACAGTGACTTTAATAGATGGAGGACAAGAGCTGGGGAGAAGAAAACCAATGAGATGATCCAAGTTCACACCATAGCATATGCCTTTTTTTTTTTTTTTTTTTCCAGTACTGGGGTTTGAACTGAGGGCCTTGTGCTTACTAGATAGGTGCTACCACTTGAGCCAGTCCACCAGTCCCATATCATATTCCCTTATACCTCGTTTTATAATCATAATACTACCTGGGGTTCTTTAGTTTTGTAAAAGATAACATCCAAATATCTAAGTAGCACATCAATAAAATAGGATAATTTTAAATTCATATCCTGCTTTGTAATTTATGAGATAATTTCATATGTTATTTACTTGACTTTGCAACAAACCTATAAAGTGGATCATTATTTTATAAATGATTTCATACCAAGCAGGTGAGAATAGATCTAATACTTACATTGATAGACCTTGTTTATAAAAGAGCTGTTTTGGAAATGTTGAATATAAATTAAGTTGGAGAAATCTGATCAATTGTAACCTAAGAAATCTATACAAAGGGAGTTTTCACTTAAAAGGAACTTAATATTCATGTGAATGGATCTCTTCTAATCCAGTAGAATTTGTTAATATAAATTGTTGCATAACCCAATTCAAATCTGTGAAGATGACTCTGCACTGACCCCTGGTGGTACCCTACAGTCTTCTCTAGTTAACAGGAAATGTAGAAATGAATGCTTACTTGAGTTTTTCCTGAGACATCTGGTAGATATCTTGAGCTAAATAAAGATGGCCATATCCACATGATTGCCTTATCCATATGACGAAGTACTAAGAATTACTGTTATTATTTGGTGGTGCTGGGGTTTGAGCCATGCCTCAGCCAAACTAAGAATTATTTACAAAATATTTTATGTCAGAAAATATTTACAAAATAATACCAAAATTTAAAAGGTAGAAAACTTACATATATTGGGTTAGGATGTAGATTAGTGGTAGAGTGTGTGCTTAGCATGAGCGAGGCCCTGCCTTTTTTTGGTCCACAGCATCCAAAGAAAAAAAAAGCATATGTACAATACATTTCAAATTTTGAAATATGTATTTCTCTCTATATAACATATTATGTATGTGACGTTTTAAAAAAGAGACCAGAGGGAAATATACCAAAATGTAAAGCTGGTTATCTCAGGATAGTGATGTTATTTCTGAGTTTTCTTTTCTTTTCTTTTTTTTTTTTTTTTTAAGCCAGAATAGTGATTTTTTTTTATTTTCATTTTTCTTTTATTATTCATATGTGCATACAAGGATTGGTTCATTTCTCCCCACTGCCCCCACCCCCTCCCTTACCACCCACTCCGCCCCCTCCCTCTCCCCCCCCTCAATACCCGGCAGAAACTATTTTGCCCTTATTTCTAATTTTGTTGTAGAGAGAGTATAAGCAATAATAGGAAGGAACAAGGGTTTTTGCTGGTTGAGATAAGGATAGCTATACAGGGCATTGACTCACATTGATTTCCTGTGCGTGTGTGTTACCTTCTAGGTTAATTCTTTTTGATCTAACCTTTTCTCTAGTACCTGTTCCCCTTTTCCTATTGGCCTCAGTTGCTTTAAGGTATCTGCTTTAGTTTCTCTGCATTAAGGGCAACAAATGCTAGCTAGTTTTTTAGGTGTCTTACCTATCCTCACCCTCCCTTGTGTGCTCTCGCTTTTATCATGTGCTCATAGTCCAATCCCCTTGTTGTGTTTGCCCTTGATCTAATGTCCACATATGAGGGAGAACATACGATTTTTGGTCTTTTGGCCAGGCTAACCTCACTCAGAATGATGTTCTCCAATTCCATCCATTTACCAGCGAATGATAACATTTCGTTCTTCTTCATGGCTGCATAAAATTCCATTGTGTATAGATACCACATTTTCTTAATCCATTCGTCAGTGGTGGGCATCTTGGCTGTTTCCATAACTTGGCTATTGTGAATAGTGCGCAATAAACATGGATGTGCAGGTGCCTCTGGAGTAACAGTCTTTTGGGTATATCCCCAAGAGTGGTATTGCTGGATCAAATGGTAGATCGATGTCCAGCTTTTTAAGTAGCCTCCAAATTTTTTTCCAGAGTGGTTGTACTAGTCTACATTCCCACCAACAGTGTAAGAGGGTTCCTTTTTCCCCGCATCCTCGCCAACACCTGTTGTTGGTGGTGTTGCTGATGATGGCTATTCTAACAGGGGTGAGGTGGAATCTTAGCGTGGTTTTAATTTGCATTTCCTTTATTGCTAGAGATGGTGAGCATTTTTTCATGTGTTTTCTGGCCATTTGAATTTCTTCTTTTGAGAAAGTTCTATTTAGTTCACATGCCCATTTCTTTATTGGTTCATTAGTTTTGGGAGAATTTAGTTTTTTAAGTTCCCTGTATATTCTGGTTATCAGTCCTTTGTCTGATGTATAGTTGGCAAATATTTTCTCCCACTCTGTGGGTGTTCTCTTCAGTTTAGAGACCATTTCTTTTGATGAACAGAAGCTTTTTAGTTTTATGAGGTCCCATTTATCTATGCTATCTCTTAGTTGCTATGCTGCTGGGGTTCTTACCTATACCTACTAACTCCAGAGTATTTCCTACTCTTTCTTGTATCAACTTAAGAGTTTGGGGTCTGATATTAAGATCCTTGATCCATTTTGAGTTAATCTTGGTATAGGGTGATATACATGGATCTAGTTTCAGTTTTTTGCAGACTGCTAACCAGTTTTCCCAGCAGTTTTTGTTGAAGAGGCTGCTATTTCTCCATCGTATATTTTTAGCTCCTTTGTCAAAGATAAGTTGCTTATAGTTGTGTGGCTTCATATCTGGGTCCTCTATTCTGTTCCACTGGTCTTCATGTCTGTTTTTGTGCCAGTACCATGCTGTTTTTATTGTTATTGCTTTGTAATATAGTTTGAAGTCAGGTATTGTGATACCTCCTGCATTGTTCTTTTGACTGAGTATTGCCTTGGCTATTCGTGGCCTCTTGTGTTTCCATATAAATTTAACAGTAGATTTTTCAATCTCTTTAATGAATGTCATTGGAATTTTGATGGGAATTGCATTAAACATGTAGATTACTTTTGGGAGTATCGACATTTTTACTATGTTGATTCTACCAATCCATGAGCATGGGAGATCTCTCCACTTTCTATAGTCTTCCTCAATCTCTTTCTTCAGAAGTGTATAGTTTTCCTTGTAGAGGTCTTTCACATCTTTTGTTAGGTTTACACCTAGGTATTTGATTTTTTTGAGGCTATTGTAAATGGAATTGTTTTCATACATTCTTTTTCAGTTTGCTCATTGTTAGTGTATAGAAATGCTAATGATTTTTCTATGTTGATTTTATATCCTGCTACCTTGCTATAGCTATTGATGATGTCTAGAAGCTTCTGAGTAGAGTTTTTTGGGTCTTTAAGGTATAGGATCATGTCGTCTGCAAATAGGGATATTTTGACAGTTTCTTTACCTATTTGTATTCCTTTTATTCCTTCTTCTTGCCTAATTGCTCTGGCTAGGAATTCCAGTACTATGTTGAATAGGAGTGGAGATAGTGGGCATCCTTGTCTGGTTCCTGATTTTAGAGGGAATGGTTTTTTTTTCTCCGTTAAGTATAATGCTGGCTGTAGGTTTGTCATATATAGCTTTTATAATGTTGAGGAACTTTCCTTCTATTCCTAGTTTTCTTAGAGCTTTTATCATGAAATGATGTTGGATCTTATCAAAGGCTTTTTCTGCATCTATTGAGATGATCAAGTGGTTTTTGTCTTTGCTTCTGTTAATGTGGTTTATTACGTTTATTGATTTTCGTATGTTGAACCACCCCTGCATCCCTGGGATGAAGCCTACTTGGTCGTGGTGAATAATCTTTTTGATGTGTTGCTGAATTCGGTTTGCCATTATTTTGTTGAGGATTTTTGCATCAATGTTCATTAAGGAGATTGGCCTATAGTTCTCCTTTTTGGAGGTGTCTTTGCCTGGTTTTGGGATAAGTGTAATACTGGCTTCATAAAATGTGTTTGGCAGTTTTCCTTCCCTTTCTATTTCATGGAACAGTTTAAGGAGGGTTGGTATCAGTTCTTCTTTAAAGGTCTGATAGAATTCAGCAGAGAATCCATCAGGTCCTGGACTTTTCTTTTTGGGGAGACTCTTGATTGCTGCTTCAATTTCATTTTGTGTTATAGGTCTATTCAGGTGATTAATTTCCTCTTGGTTCAGTTTTGGATGATCATATGTATCTAGAAATCTGTCCATTTCTTTAAGATTTTCAAATTTATTTGAATATAGGTTCTCAAAGTAGTCTCTGATGATTTCCTGGACTTCCATGGTGTTTGTTGTTATCTCCCCTTTTGCATTCCTGATTCTACTAATTTGGGTTTTTTCTCTCCTCATTTTAGTCAGGTTTGCCAGGGGTCTATCGATCTTGTTTATTTTTTCAAAGAACCAACTTTTTGTTTCATTAATTCTTTGTATGGTTTTTTTGGTTTCTATTTCATTGATTTCAGCTCTTATTTTTATTATTTCTCTCCTTCTATTTGTTTTGGGATTTGCTTGTTCTTGTTTTTCTAGGAGTTTGAGATGTATCATTAGGTCATTGATTTGGGATCTTTCAATCTTTTTAATATATGCACTCATGGCTATAAACTTTCCTCTCAGACTGCCTTAGCTGTGTCCCATAGGTTCCGGTAGGTTGTGTTTTCATTTTCATTGACTTCCAGGAACTTTTTAATTTCCTCTTTTATTGCATCGATGATCCATTCTTCATTAAGTAATGAGTTATTTAGTTTCCAGCTGTTTGCATGTTTTTTGTCTTTACTTTTGTTGTTGAGTTCTACTTTTACTGCATTGTGGTCAGATAGTATGCACGGTATTATTTCTATTTTCTTATATTTGCTGAGGCTTGCTTTGTGCCCTAGGATATGATCTATTTTGGAGAAGGTTCCATGGGCTGCTGAGAAGAATGTATATTGTGTAGAGGTTGGATGAAATGTTCTGTAGACATCTACTAGGTCCATTGATCTATTGCATATTTTAGATCTTGGATTTCTTTATTGAGTTTTTGTTTGGATGACCTATCTATTGATGATAATGGGTGTTAAAGTCTCCCACAACCACTGTGTTGGCGTTTATATATGCTTTTAGGTCTTTCAGGGTATGTTTGATGAAATTGGGTGCGTTGACATTGGGTGCATACAGATTGATGATTATTATTTCCTTTTGGTCTATTTCCCCTTTTATTAGTATGGAATGTCCTTCTTTATCTCGTTTGATCAATGTAGGTTTGAAGTCTACTTTGTCAGAGATAAGTATTGCTACTCCTGC